GCCCCCCCCCCCCCGCCGCCTCCATATGGAGCACCATACGCCACACCTGCACCGCCGCCTCCGCGCGATTACTACGCGGCCCCACCTTCTGGGTACCCGTACAGTGCGTACAATGCTCCTCCAGCGCCGTACGGTCAGCCGGCTCAGGGGAGTTCTGGTCAGGCGGGGTATGGACAGGAGGAGAAGAAGAAGAGTAAGTTTGGTGGGATGGGGACTGGATTGGCTGTGGGCGCGGTGGCGGGGGTTCTTGGTGGAGTCGCATTGGCGGAGGGCTTTGATTACATGGAGGACAAAATTGAGGATGACGTGGCGGAGAGAGTGGAAGATGATATTGGGTACAACGATGGGGATGACTTCTAGGATGTTCTGTCGTCTTCTTGAGAGTTCGAGACTTTGATCCTATTGGTCCTTGTGGCGTGGCAGTCACGCATGACATGGACCAGGCTTTGAAATTTGTCCTTTTCTTTTTACATTGAGAAAATTTGAAAATAAAATTATGTTTTTTTTTAATGGAAAAATGATAATTATTTTAAATTGTGAAATTAAATAGGAAAAAAATTGTGCGCGTTATTATTATGCGTGATAGGAAAATGATAAGCCAAGTTTGAGTGAATCGCGTGATAGGATAAGCTGAGAGTCAGGATAAGGTGCGATATGCCATGTAGGCGATGACGCAGACAGAAAAGGAAAAGTCTTTTATGAAATAGGAATGCAAAAAATAAAGAAATTGCGGAATTAATATAATTTATTATTGAAAAAATAAATTATAAGCGCATTCCGTGTGATGTGATCAACACGCTAATAAAACTGGAATATTCTTAGGACAGGAACATGTTCGGGCGGTGGAAGTCAGGGTTCTTCTTGTTTTCCCAAAAGACACGAAAGTAATACGTTGCCGCTTCGGCATGCTCAAATGATATCAACCGCACATTTTAACCCCAAGTAGCCCGTGCCAAATGTAAGGGAAACACTTTTATGTGATAGGAATAACACAATACTATTTTACTATTTTCGATTAATAACACTATGATAAAATTGATAACCCTTTCACGCAGTATAGTATTATTAGCCGGAAATAGCAAAATAAGTTTTTCTCCACATGTACTTGCCTAGGCTGAGTTGAATTAAGATTGGCACGAAAGCTCTTGCTAAACTTCCTAACAATTCTTATAAGCCTTCGAGTGCACTACAAGCCCCGGAGTTTAAGTTTTTATCTATGTTTCTTACAAGCAACAGCAAAATGAAATGTTAGGGCTCACTATCTATATAAACGCCCTCTCATTTTTACAACCCTTTAATTCTCTGTCCACTGACGCAAAGCATCCTCTCATCTTTCAATCCATACACCCACAGGTTCATGTTCAATTCTTCATGCCACTTTCTTGTTCTCCTATATTTTGTATCATCAATTATATTCTCTGATTTTATTTTTTCTTTCCAAGCGTTCTTTGCAGTATTGAGATTCACAGGTTGACGAGGTTGCAATGGGGAAAAGAATTAGTGCACGCATCCGAAAATTTATTTCCTGTACTGGTAATTTATTTTTATTTTCTTTATGAAAAAAATAAATTTTCTTTTCTTGTCCAAAATTTCATGCTCGCATTCTCGTTTGCTAATCTAATTGCAAAGTGGGCTTGTAATGGCTGGGTTGGGCTCGTTTATTGTTTTGGTGCAGAACCCGGGCCCACCAGACCGACTACTTCAATGGGTGTGGATGTAACAGAAGAATACGCTAATGCCTTCCGCACCGAATCATACCTCGACTTCTGGACACGTGTCGTGGCATTATCCAATGGAGACTCAACCAAGTCCAACAAGCGCATGCCAATGGAGTCAACTACCGCAGCTCGGCTCCCATCCTATCGGCTCTTCGCGGAGCACCTTTTGGATCCGGACCAACCCATGGTTGCTCGGATCTTAACCATGGCCCCGAACCACCCCACACTTTTATCCGACTATTTCACCCAAACAGCGGACGCTTCCATCCTATGTGGCCTCCTATTGAAAGACATTGACCGTACACGTGTCAAATACCGTTCCATCAAAACCAGCCTCCAATCCTTAAATGACAGGTCTACCCCTGAAACACTAACCCGCCTAACCAAATTAACCACTGCCTTGTCCCTGATTCGCGTTCAAGCCATTCAAGCTGGGTGCTCAAACTTGCTAAAACGGCTCGAGTCAACTCGCAACAAGGCTCGAGCCAAGCTTCGGCTAGCAAACAAATTAAGAGTCGGCTCGGCTATTTTCTTAGTGGCGCTAACGGCTTCGTTAAGTGTAATTGTAGTTACGCATGCTCTTGCACTAGTTGTGGCGATGCCGACTTTTATAGCTGCTTCTCTTGACTTGGCTTCGGCGAGGAGGCTAGCTAGGATGGCTGCTCAGCTCGATGCAGCCACCAAGGGGACTTACATACTAAATAGAGATCTAGAGACTGTTAGCCGGCTCGTGGCTCGGCTGAATGATGAGATAGAGCACATGCATGGCATGGTTACGTTTTGGGTGGGGCGTGGAGAGGACTGGAGCCAAGCCAACGGCGAAGTGGCTCGCCAGCTGAAGAAAAATGATTGTAGCTTTAGGCAGCAGCTTGATGAGCTAGAGGAACATCTGTATTTGTGTTTCATGACCATTAACAGGGCCAGAAATCTAGTTGTGAAGGAAATTCTGGATCCGGGTCATACCACAGTATGACCCATAAATTTGAAGTAATTACAAAGATGAAGTTTTCTTAGCTTTGAATGCCCCCGCGCGCTGGGGGGGTGGTTGAATGTAGAAATTATTGTCCTTTGCTTGGACAAATTATTGGGTCATAGTCTCACCTAATGCATATGCTCCTAATCAATCTTACGATGCAAACACCAAAGGCCAAATTTGGGTTTACTACGTAGAGTCTATATGCATGTAAATGGGTCGGTGCTTGGAACTTTAGACCACAGGAGTCAGGAGTGGCTCTGGCTGGACTGGCTGGCGGTCATTCAATGCCAACCAACGCTTGTTGTACGCATAAATTTCTGGCACATGTCCTCATCAATATCTTTTTGATCTTGTTTTCAACTCAACAAGTGAAAAAAAACCATCATGTGTTTGCAAATTGCAAGCGTCATTAATTAGGGTTGCTTCTTCTGGTCTGATCGAGCACTAGAATTGTCATATTTTGCAATGTCATTGGGTTGGGAATAGCTTCTGAGAATACTGAATCTCTTTATAGATTAATTTAGCATTGACTGGTAAGTTAAGGCTTTGACTTATCTTGGGGATGGGGAGTCGTAAAAACCATTCAACATTTTTTGCTCAAATCAAACAAAATACTGTACCTTTCTTTCACATTTCTTCCAAGGCTGTCATATCTGATACTGGACCTGCAGCGCAGCGGGTTCAATTTCTTCTTTTTAAGTTGGTGTTTAAATGGGTTTTGGAAATAAAAATAAAATAAAATATTACTTGTCATGTTTTAAGCGGTTAGATTGTTTGAGTGATTTAGATTAGTCGAAATGCGGGAAGTCTAAATACAAAGGCTCGCAATTCGTTAATTAACAATGTGACAATAACTCAATCATTTATGGAGAAATATAGTTATAGAAGTACGCCTGGCTATATACCAGACTGGGATTCTTTGCCGACCTTATGATAGATATAATTGTATTTCATATGGGCTATTTAATCATGTTTATGAGAATTTATGAATTACCCACTTCCCTGGGATGCCTCAAAATTTATTGGAGAATGCTAGCAGCATTTTCTATAACATTCTCCTTTCTCTTGATGACACGTATTATTTCTTTGTCATTAATTACATTAAAAAATATTAATTATATTTTCATATCTGCCCTTGATAAAAAATTAAAGCTTTTATACAAGTCTCGGCTCTTTTGGAGTGGCAGAGAGAGAAGGGAGGTCGCCATCGGGTTGGGGTGGATGGTGGATGGGGGATGGGGAGGGGTTGGGTCTATTTCCGGGGTTGTTTGTTTTTCGTTTTATGTTTTGTTTTTGTTTTTAATTTGGTCCTAACAATGTCAAGTGTCAATACATTTAAGGCTAAAGGTAAATTTAGAAAACCAAAAATTAGTTGCCTTATACATTAATTACATTATTTTAAGTGTAACAAAAATGACACATGTCATTAAAAAAAGAGAAAAGATTCAAAAAAAATTATCAAAGAGAAGATGGCTAGCATTCTCCAAATTTATTAATACAACTGCAATTGCAGCCCAATGGAGTCATTTTTGATGTAACAATACATGATTGATTTGATATCATAGTGTCATTTCTGATGTAAGAGACCCAAACTTCTTTCAAAAACCTAACTTTAACCTCACCCCTGTACCTGTAAAGGAGTTGCAAATGAATGGTCATTCTTAGATCTCAACCATCGCAACAAATTTATGAAAGACTCGTTAAAGTGTTTTATATGACTTTAGATTGGTCCCAGAGCCCCCCGTGGTTGAGGGCATCCCCATTAAATTGAAGGCTAGTAAGATTTTAGAAGAGCTAGGTATAATATTGTGGCCCTTTCATAAATTGGTCCAACTAATTTTGACAGCATTTTTTCTTTTTTCGTGTATCATTATGACTTTATTGAATTCAAAGAGACGAATTAGCAGTTCATAACTAATAACACTAATATTGTCTATAACTTAATTACATATAAAGCTCAGTAGGTATTATATTTTATCACAAAGGCCTCGGTAATATTAGTAGTGAAATTATTCATTATATATTGTATTTTATTTAGTTAAATTTTCAATGTGGAACTTATATTCTTTAACAGAACGAATTTCTTTACTGTTAATCTCTCGACTCAATAAATATTTTTATTTTCTAAAAAGCAAAAAAAAAAATCCGGTAAAGCCAAAAAACAAAACTTTATTTGTAGTACATAATTGTCTTTATCCCACCACAACGTTGTTCTTTTCAATCTTACATTTTATTTATTGTGATAATTTAAAAAATCACATGGATTTTGTATAGTTTATTCAAATATATAGAAACTACACTTGATTTGGAGTATGAAGCTCGAGAAATATAATTTATATGTTAATTTACAGCTTTATAATTTATTTTTAATTATAATAAATTATTATAAAAATTTATAACATAATAACGTATATACATGCAACCAGAACACACAAATAATTGGAGGCATAATAATTTATCTTTGATATTAACGCCTTGATATACACAACCAACCCTCCACTGCCAAGCCCTGCCCGGCATATACATATATAATTCACACCTGGCAAAAATACTAACCTATAATAAGAATAGCAAAAAGTGTTATTTCCATTAGATGAAAATTTATTTCCACACCTAAACCTAGTGAAGGAGAAACATTTATGGGTCCCAACGTCTACCGTGAAGCCCATAATTGCAACCTCAACTACACCAGCAACTTGTTTATAAGTATATCTGCTACCCTCTTTCATCAACCCACACACTTTCCTCTTCAAACTTCATAGCCAGCTCCCTGGTTGATCAACATCAACATCATCAACCATGGCAGCTGAGTTGGGGAAGAAGGAGGAAATATTGAAGGTGAAAGTCACTAACAAAACCCATGTGAAGCCCAACAAAAAGATAGGTAAGAAAGAATGCCAGCTGGTCACATTTGACCTCCCCTACCTGGCTTTTTACTACAACCAGAAGTTACTGTTTTACAAGGGGGCTGAGTTTGAGGAAATGGTGAAGAAGCTGAAGGAGGGTTTGGAGGTGGTTCTGGTGGAGTTTTATCAGCTGGCTGGGAAGCTTGGGAAAGATGAGGAGGGAGTCTTTAGGGTTGAGTATGGTGATGAGATGGAGGGTGTGGAGGTTGTGGAGGCTGCATCAGAAGAGATCAGCATAGCTGATCTGGCAGTTGAGGAAGGCACCAGTGCTTTGAAGGACTTCATACCTTACAATGGGGTCTTGAACTTGGAGGGCATTCACAGGCCTTTGCTGGCACTGCAGGTAAAATTCATCACTCATTAATTAATACTAGCTATCTACTCTGATATGGATTAATGACATCGGTAATCACAGCATCTAATTAATCTTTAGCTCAACAAAATCTAATTAAAGTAGTAAAGTCTAAAGTGGATGGGACCCAAGAAACATTTTTACATGTCCATTTTGCAGACGTTCTGGGTAGGTGCGTGTGCGTCTGTGAAGCTTTTTCATGCATGATTGAGGATTCCTATTTTTTTGAGATTCTTTTTTTTTTTTTTTCCTCTCACGGTACAAGCGATACTCGAACTTGAATTCGAAAAGACGAACAAACTGACCTAACTCACATATCTATTTTTTAAAGATCTAAACTCCTGCGGATGTTCGATTTCCTATCTTGAATAATCAATGATGTTTGATACTTTTTTTTTTTTACTGTTTATTATGAACCATGGATCGCTTGCCTTTTCATCATTTGAACCCTTTTAACCGTTGATTTGGATTTGGGGTCATGCCACGCAGTTAACCAAGCTGAAGGATGGATTGGCAATAGGGTGCGCCTTCAACCATGCGATCCTAGACGGCACCTCCACGTGGCACTTCATGAGCTCGTGGGCGGAGGCCTGCAATGGGTCCAAATCTATTTCAGCCCAACCCTTCCTGGACCGCACCCAAGCCCGAAACACGCGCGTGAAGCTCGATCTTTCTCCGCCTCCATCCAAAGGCGACGCGTCGTCCAACGCCAAAGCGGACCCGAACCTAAGAGAGAGAGTGTTCAAGTTTTCGGAAGCAGCCATCGACAAGATCAAGTCAACAGTCAACGCAAACGCACCATCGGACGGCTCAAAACCATTCTCCACATTCCAATCCCTGTCCGTCCACATCTGGCGCCACGTCACCAAGGCGCGCCACCTGAAACCCGAAGACTACACTGTCTTCACCGTCTTCGCGGACTGCCGAAAACGGGTCGACCCGCCCATGCCCGATACCTACTTCGGGAACCTAATTCAGGCGGTCTTCACTGTGACGGCAGCCGGGTTGCTGTCGGCGAACCCGCCGGAGTTCGGAGCTTCGATGATCCAGAAGGCGATCGAAGCGCACAACTCGAAAGCCATTGACGAGCGCAACAAGGAGTGGGAGAGCTCGCCGAAGATTTTTGAGTTCAAGGACGCGGGAGTGAACTGCGTGGCAGTGGGGAGCTCACCGAGGTTCCGGGTTTATGAGGTGGATTTCGGGTGGGGAAAACCGGAGGGGGTGAGAAGCGGGTCGAACAATAGGCTTGATGGGATGGGGTATCGGGACCAGGGGAGGAGCGGTGGGAGGAGCATTGATGTGGAGATTAGCTTGGAGGCTCCGACTATGGAGAAGCTGGAGAAAGACGAGAGCTTTGTTCCGATTGGCAACTAGTTAAGTTTAAGGTGGAAGATGGAGATTGATGGAGCTAATGAAATTGGTTTGGCGTGTGAGTCTAGTTGAGGCATGCTTAATAATAATAATCACTGGAGTCGCATGCGAACCAATTGTAGCAAGCATATGCTTTGTTTTTGGGTTTGTTTCTTTAATCTGGATTGGATCTCCCGATGCAGTGCAGACTTGCTTGCAGTAGCATATATAATTGTTAAAGGGTTGTGATTTGGACTTGGAAATTAATGATGGGCTATGTTATTTTCATATTTTGGATGGATGTTTGGTGTGTGAATCTCATCTTAAGTTTATTTGGTCAGTATTTTTTCCAGTGTTGTACCAAGTATGTCTGTAGACTGTATCACTTCACTGTTGTATTTCTCATTTGGTAGCTCGGCTTGGATTGATTTTATAAGTCTCTCGTAATGATGAGATTTATAAGACACGATGTGTTAAATTGTTGTCCAATTTAATAAATCAAGACTTGTGTGTATGAGTTAACTAAACATAACGTAATAATTTAATTTCATTGAAATAGTTGAGTTGAATCATAAAATCACTTACTAGTTATTCATATAAACTCTTAAATTCGTTTTCATCCAATTGGAAATTTCAGTGGGCTTTAATCCAATCCAACACTCCAGTTTTCGAATATGATCAGCAGTAGGCAGTCTCTTCTGTCTTCTTATATGGTAGCCTAGCCAGTCTTTTTTAGAATGGTTGAATAGAGCCTCCCTTCTGTCTCCCAGTTTGTCTTCTTATATGGTAGCCAGTCTTTTTCAGAATGGTTGAACAGAGCCTCCTTTCTGTCTCCCAGTCTGTCTTATAAGAAGATAGTAGTAGGTCAGTTGTAGGTTTTGTTAGTCCACAAAAGAGTTGATCGCATCGCAGAATGCGATTAATCTCTTTTGCGTTCACGGTGGTAAATACATCTCCATAGGCATGCTTTGTAGATTTGTCTCAGTAGTCTAGTCTGTAACTCTGCATTAGACTGGGCTTGAAATATACTGTCAGTCCATTGATGTAAAATACATGCTCAAAACCAAAATTTCAGTGTAATGGTTTTCAAATATGAGGAGAAGACACTGACCCCCAAAAAAAAATTGGAGGAAGAGAATTTTTCCTAAACTTTTGAACTTTTGTCAGAAGATATTGGAATCTACACCCTGCTGAAGTGCTCTGTACTTAGAGGATTAGAGGGCATAGATTCATCAAAACAAAGTCTCCTTTGAAGTATGTTGGTTTTAGTTCTCACTTACATATTGAAGTATGTCTAAGTCTCACATATGTGCTAAAATATGCTTGCAGGGGTGCATGATTCCTTCTGGACTCATGCATGTGATGTGGACCAAATGAACGAGATACTTGGGGAAAAATTTGTGGAGTTTTATAGCATGCCGATACTTGAAAATGTAAGTGAACTATGTCCTGTTTCCCTTCCTGAAATTGGGTCTCCTCATAAATTCATATCTTTCTCTGGCTTGTTTAGAAGCAAGTTGGGTGGAATGACTTGTATTTGACACAAAGATTTCTCAAGGCTACTTAAGTTCGTTTTGATGTCTCCTCACAAGGTTTCAAGATGAAGTTTAAGAACTTACAAATGCGTCTTCATTGTAGAAAACTTTGCATTGGAAGACTGTATTCAGCTTCTCCCTAATTTTTACTTTATGATATAATGAAATGGTCAAACTGCTTCTAATTGTTTGAGAACTTGCATTTAGAAAGTTGCTTTACACACATTTTATATGTAGACCTGAATTAAACTATTTGTTTATTTTCATTGATATCTTGATAGCCCTGCCTCTTCCCCGTTGCTTGAAAGTTTCCTCCACTCCCAGAAAGAGGCCACTTTGATTTGCAGCAGGTTCTGGAATCTCCATACTTTTTCAACTGAATTTCCAGTCATGAGCAAGAAGCTTTGTTAAGAGTTCATTTGGATAGGGGCAGCAAGTTGAACTGGGAAACAGAAGCCTAAAAGGTTCCTATTGTGAAAAGTGAAAGGACAAATTTTGATTCCCATGGTAAGCAAGTCTGTGATTCTGATGGCGTGGTGATCATCTTCAGTGTTAATGATCTGGCTCTATTTAGAAGCGACCCATGTACAGTAAAGGAGACGCTTCTATTGAAATTCAAAGATGTTTAGAAGTTCTCTAATGTGGAACAATTTTTTTGGAGGCAAGAGAGGCAGACAGAAGGCGGCAAGGCCGTTGGAGCTAATTTTGTGGAGTTCATATGGTGCAAAAATCATGTATTGTTTCTTTTCTAATATATTTTATTTTTTAAAGGCAAACAGATCAATACATATATAAAAGGTAGAGCTGCGCGGTTAAACTCAGTTTTTTTAATTTTATTTGAAAAGGAAATAGTATAGCCGCTCGGCTATACTTCAAATGGTATAGCCGACCGGCTATACTCTGTTTCACCAAATTTTTTGAAGAAATAGTATAGCCGGGCGGCTATACTAATTTTTAAGAAATTTAAAAGAAATAGTATAACCGGTCGGCTATACTCGGTTGAAAAAGATATAGTATAGCCGCACGGCTATACAAGTGTTTTCCATTTTTGTTAAAAATAGTATAGCCGTTCGGCTATATTTGTTTTTAAAATTTTTTTTTTAAAGAAATAGTGTAGCCTCCCTTTTTTAAAAATTTTATTTAGAAGCAATAGTATAGCCGACCGGCTATACCAGGGTTTTCTAATTTTTTTAAAAAAGAAATAGTATAGCCGCGAGACTAAACCAAAAAAACCAATCACAATCAATCACTAATCTGAGAAGAAGATTTCATGATCTTTCCTCTCTTGGCAAATTCCAAAACAGCTCCATGAAATGAGCTCAACCTAGAAGAAGGTACAGAAGCTATGAGTATAGGCAGTATCGCAGCAATCCAAGCTGTTCTGAGCAACCCGACAAGAACCACCTCCATTTTAGCAAAAACCCAGATCAGAACAGAGCTTAAAGAGTTGAAAAAGGCTAGTCCCTCTGCCAAAGGAAAGCAATAGCTCAACTGGGTCTTCAAGAGCAAACATTCTTATATATAGACCAAGTTTAGAGTATACTAATATCAACTAAAACAAAACTCTAAAGTGCGCACCTCCAGACGAGCAGGTAAGTTCCAAGAATATCATAACATTCTAAGCCTGTATTCTTTTGCAACTTCCTTGTTATCTGCAATTTTTAAGTGGTTTCAGTTTTTGTTTTATTGATATGATGAACAACTCTATCCAGGTGCCTATATCACACAACGACGACAACGTTTATTGAAAGGAGTTATTGATGCTTGTGTATGTCTGGGTGGCTTTTCTTATTGTTCAGATTGGTAAGGGAAGTTATTTTACTCTCTAGTTCTGTACAACTAAAGAAGCTTTTCTAGGAACTCATCTATTCGCATACCGGACCTTAAAATGCTCTCCAAAGGATACAATCATCACTAGCAATGCAATCAAGTTCCATCTTTCTAATACCTCTGCATTTGCTTCTAAAGCACCATGATTTTAACTTTTTTTACTGAATTATTGGGTCCTGAACTCCTTGCAGGTAAGATTAACAACCAGAGTAGTAAGATTTCTTTCACGGACACTATAGAAACACATAACTATATACACTCAAGCATACATAAAAAGAATGATGTCCAGTTGAACATAAATATTATCATTTCGTAGGTACCAATTGCAGTCTCCGTTACGCTCTTTGAAGCCAAATTCTTATGCAAAGGCACCAGGGTGATTGCATCCAAAGGAAAGGAAATCACAAACTGGAAATTGCATCAGATTTTTCTTTACTGCAGCTGTGGGATAGTAGCTGGTATGGTGGGTAGCCTACTTGGGCTGGGAGGCGGTTTCATCTTGGGACCCCTTTTTCTTGAATTGGGAATTCCTCCGTAGGTATAGTTCAACGCAAGACAAAATTCACTCTATTCTTTTTGTCAGTCAGAAAATCTTGTCAAGAAATTCTTGGCAAGGAAAAATCACTGAAGAGGTTTGGATCCAAAATTCCTTGATCATTGGTTTTGATCCCAAGTCTTCCACTGCCATTTCCAAGTGTTAGTAATCAGTATTAATCTTTCTTTTAACTTGTTAACTTAATCTTAATGTATTCAGTTTAGACAGAATTAAAGAACTATATGCCATCCTATTGGTCATGCAGGTATGATAATGGGTGCTTCAGTTTCAACTGTACACATCAATTTGAGACATAGGCACCCAAAACTGGACATGCCCCTTATAGATTATGATCTGGCATTTCTCTTTCAGTCAATGCTCATGCTGGGCATCAGCATGGGAGTTGGCTTCAACGTCAAAATGCTCATGTTGGGCATCAACATAGGAGTTGCCTTCAACGTCATGTTCACAACTGGATGGTCACAGTTCTACTTATTATTCTCTTCTTAGGGAATAACATTTTGACCACAATTTATTTGTTATTTGTTACTTATTAGTGGTTACTTTAGTGATTTCAT